TTGGAGTGCAGTAGCACGGTATTAGCTCACTGCAGCTTCAAACTCCTGAACTCAAGACATCTTCCCACCTCAGCCTTCCAAGTAGCAGGGACTACAGGTGCATGCCACCACATTTTTTTATTTTCTGTAGAGATGGGGTCTCACTTTGTTGCTCAGGCTGGCCTCAGCCTCCTGGTTGCTCAGGCTGGCTTCAACTTCCTGGCTTCAAGCAATCCTCCCACATTGGCCTCCCAAAGTGTTGGGATTACAGGTGTTAAGCCACCATTATTGGCCTTCATTTTCTTAATGGACTTAGAACCTTTTTAAAAATTTGTTTTTACAGTTTCTTTTTAAAAAAATCTAAATTGTAATTGACAAGTAACAATTGTATATATTCGTGGAGTATAATGTGAAGTTTGGTGTGGCATGATTAAATCAAGCTAATTAACCTGTCCACCACATCACTTATCATTTTCTGTGGTGAGGCATTTGGAATTTGCTTTTAGCAGTTTTGAAATATACAATACATTAACTATATTCACCAATGCTGTGCAATAGATCTCAAAGAGCTTATTCTTCCTATGTAACTGAAACTTTGTACCCTTTAAACAACCTCTACCTATTCCCCTTCCCCATGCCCCAGCCCCCGCTAACCACCATTTTATTCACCATATCTATGAGTTCAACATTTTCAGATTACACATATATAAGTGAGATCATGCAGCATTTGTCTTCCTGTGCCTGGCTTATTTTGTTGTTTACAGGTTCATTCTTTACTGTGAACTCAGATGTTCGCTGCCCCATTGATCTTGAGAAAAATGAGAGGAAAAATGAAATGTGTGCTATGCTGCAGGAAAGTTAGGAAGGCCTTGGGGTGGATCTTGACAGGTTCATGTTCACCTGCACATGACTTTGCTTCCCTGCCTCCTGATCTCCAACCCACACCTCATTCTCTTCTCCCTAACCCCTCCCCTCTTCTATGTGCCTCAGGGCACAATAGCCTCATGCCTTTCTACAGGAGCTGGCTTTGATTCATCTAATAGGATACATGTGATCCCACAGTCTGATCTTGCCCCAGTGGCTGGCCCTTTACCCAAGTCTATGGCATTCCCTGGATGAAAAACTTGCTTCGGAAATGGGCGTATAGCCTGATTTTGGCCAATGTGATGGAAGGGAGGCTGTGGGCGCCTTCTGGGTAGTGTAGCTCCAGACTTTAAGTGTCTGCAAGTACAGAAGCCATTCTGCCATGGTTCAGAGGGCAGAGGGACAGAAAGAGCCAGTCCACGGGGTCATTGTTGAGTCATTGGATGAAACCCACTTTGAAGACTCTACCAGTCAGGATGGGCAAGAAGATGGGGTGATCCTAAACCATGACCTCAGCAAACTCACAAAAGTTAGTTTCTCACTCATGGCCAGCTATGGGCCTGGGTGGGCTCCAGGGCCGTGCTCCCCGAGGGGCGGCCTGGGGTTCCAAGCTTCCCTGTGCACCTTCAAATCAATGTGTGACTCCATGATGACCTGCCATGGGGAGAAAGGTGGAGACTCACACCCTGATTCTTAATGTTCCCCCAAAGTAACACACATTATGTTTATTGTTGGTCCTGAAATATGCTTAACTCCAAGGGGTCTCACGTCTGGGAAGGAGATTTTGGAACGTGCTAGGAATGCCTATGTAGGAGTGAAGGAGAAACTTCCCTTTGGCCCTCTGAAGCCTTGCTGAAAATCAACTGATGAAAGGCAGATTAACAGAGAAAAAAGACAAGCAAATTTATTAATGTGCACAGGGGACAAGCACAGAGTGATCACCCACTTACTCAGTGCCCTGCGGAAGTTCATTTACCCTTTCCTAGGGGTGGAAGTGATGGGAAATGTAGATGATCTTTGGATGGGCAGGAAATCATTAGGGAGGATGAACGGACCCCAAAGGCAGGAGGCAGATGCTCTGGGAAAGTGGAGTCAGAGCTCACGGGAACAAAGGTTGTCTTATTCTGCAGGTAAAGCCCCCCAGATAATCTCTTGGAGCTGCTCTTAGAAGAATAGATGAAAAGTCCATCTGGGCACGGTGAGGACTCTGAGTCTCTTCTCGTCTCCAGTGCTTGATGGTCCTGGTTCTTTGATGAGATTCCTAAGGAGGGAGTCTTAAGACAATTGCGTTTAAGCTTTCTTAGATAAGGAAATTCCAGAGAAGAGTCCCTCCTGGGCTTCAGGAAGGAATATCAGGGAGAAAAAGAGGTGGGGAAAAGGTCAGAGAGAAACCTTGGTTCTAAGGCTTATTGTGGAGGCCTTTCAATTGTCAAAGCACTCCGCATGCCAAAGCACCATATTTTGGGGAATCATTTCCGGTGCCCCAACACCTATCAATGGATCTTCCTTCCAGACTGTGATTTGGGCCAGCACTCCCCTTTATGGTCGAGGTGGCTAAAATTAGGATTTCTGTGGTTATTTTTAACCAAAAGCATCTGACATTTTAACTGAAGCAATTGTTACCATTTTCATTCAAGGGGTGAGGAGATTATCAATATGCTGGGAGCTCAGCTGGGCATGCATTTCTGGATCCTCACTCAGGGAGAAAAACTCCGACTGTGCGATTGGCAGCAGCTACAAGTCTGCAGGTCACAGTGACAAGTTTCAAATAGAAACCTGGCATCCAAAAATGTACAGCTTTGGCCACGAAAGCATGGGGTTATTCCAAAGTATTCTAAGGCAAGTCTTGCTGGCGCCCACAGGGGCCTATTCTGAGGCATGTTTTAAATAAGAGTCCTGGCAGCAGGCCCCTGAGCTTCAGAAATATAAGCTGGTTCCTCTCATCAGTCACTGACTGTCTCTCCGAATGTTGTCGAATCTGGATGTTCTCAGCAGTTCAATTGTTCTTCAAATTATCCTTTGTGCGAGCCAAGGAACTGAACTTTCTAAATAAAGATTTTAAAGGCATCCTTGCAATGAAGGTAGAATGTCTACTGACTGGGTTAAGCCTCTCTGCTGTCTTCAATGGCATCTGGAACTCAAAAGGCACCTGGAAGCATTGTCCGCCTTCTATACGTGCGTGCCAGTGTTCAGGCCCATGCCAGGGTCCCAGGGTCAGGGTCACCAGGCTCTGCCGTCTCCCGGGATAACCGTTGGCTCCACCCAGGACACTATGGGTGCAGTGTTCCTCAGCAAACGTTCAATGGGCAGCATGCAGAAGCCACTTTTGGAATTCCCCCATATGTCTTTTCTTTCCATCTAGCTTCAGAAATACACGTACACAAGTGGAAACCGTGCTTAAAATGAGCTCAGTTCTGTGACGTGCTCTCTAAAAAGCACAAAATGTAATGAGAATACATTTAGTCCTGGAATTTAGGGCCATAAAAATGACTCTCTCTTCCCTACGAGCTCACCTGCCCCCACACAGGCTGTGCCCCGGCACTCGCCCATGCAGGAGGCAGGTTGGATGCCCTCATCCTCCAGGACACAGACTGGGGATGAGCCTGCAAGCTCCTGCTTCCTCCACGGAGCTGACACAGCACTCAGGAACACAAAGGGCACCCCCCGCAGGGCTTCTGTGGGTCGGCCTTGGGCTCACCAATCACATTCATGCCTGATGCCTTGCTGTTCCTTTCCATCGTTACACGTTGGTAGCCCAGCCAGATCAAACGGGGTCATTTCCATGTTAAAACACAGTCCACCCATCTGTCTTTTGCCTTTGCAGGCTACAGTTCTCGCCCCTGCAGGGAGGGCCAGGGCTCCAGCAGGTGATGTCTCTCTCTGGCCTTCCCGACTCCCCTGACCCTACACTTCAAGGGGCGTCTGTGCAGCCCGTTTCCTAAGCCTCCTCCCCTGATCACAGTAGTCTAGTTCATGTCAGAGTTCCTGAGTTAAATGCCACATGAACTGTTCTCTAGCATACCAAGCTTATTTTGTCACTGAATTTTGGTAAGGACTCCCTCCTAGCCAGGCTCCTGGAGCCCTTTTCTTAACCAGGCCTTGTCCTTGGCCTGCTGAGCCCAGTTTCAATCCCCACCTTTGACATCTCATCAAATCTCTCTTAGTAATTTTTCATCCATTGATCCTGTCTCCTTGCCTGTTGGCTACAAATACCCAAATGTCATTGCTGTCCTTGGAGTTGAGTTCTGTCTCTCTCCCTTATTGCAATAGTTTTGACCTTTAGTGAAATAAGGAAAATGCAAGCCATCAAAACAATAAGGCAGAGAACACAAACTGATAAAAGCACTATCCGGGATCTGGCCATAAGTATGCAGAATGGCAAGCGCAGATATTTTTTAACTACAAAATATTCCTAATTCCCTTTTTAAAAATAAAATAAAATAAAGCCGGGAAAACAAAGATTTTTAATAATTAACGTGCTAATACAGATACAGACACACACACACACACTAATTTCCAAACCAGGAGTGTAACACTGAAGCAGCATTGTTGTCTGGGGTAAATACCCAAGGTTTGATGCCTCATGCCAAGGAAATCAAAGACATGAACACACGTGGAGCGGGATTAAGAGTGGAAGTTTCACAGGCAAAAGAAAGAGAAAGGAGAATAGCGCTCTCTTGTGAGAGAGAGAGAGAGACAGGGTGCACCTCAATGGGACTTGCAGCATATGGCAGAATGCACCAGATTTTATAGACAGCCCTGAGAGGTGGTGTCTGATCTACAGAGGGCCCAAAGATTGGTTGGACCTGGTGTAACATTGAGAGGTGAAGCCGGCTGGGCTTCTGGGTCTGGTGGGGACTTGGAGAACTTTTCTGTCTAGCTAAAGGATTATAAATGCACCAATCAGCGCTCTGTGTCTAGCTAAAGGTTTGTAAATGCACCAATCAGCACTCTATAAAATGGACCAATCAGCACTCTGTAAAACGGACCAATCAGCACTCCATAAAATGGACCAATCAGCTCTCTGTAAAATGGACCAATCAGCACTGTGTAAAATGGACCAATCAGCTCTCTGTGAAATGGACCAATCAGCACTCCGTAAAATGGACCAATCAGCTCTCTGTAAAATGGACCAATCTGCAGGATGCGGTGGGGCCAAACAAGGGAATAAAAGCAGGCCACAGGCTCCAAGAGAGGTAATCCGCGGGGGTCCGCTTCCACGCTGTGGGGGCTTTGTTGTTTTGCACTTTGCAATATATCTTGCAGCTGCTGGCTCTTTGGGTCCGCACTACCTTTATGAGCTGTAAAATCGCTGTGAAGGTTTGCAGCTTCACTCCTGAAGCTAACGAAACCAGGAGTCCACCCGGAGGAGCAAACGACTGTGGACGAGCCGCCTGTGCGAGCTGTAACCTTCACCCCGAGGGTCTGCGGGTTCACTCCTGGAGTCAGCCAGACCACGAACCCACCGGAAGGAAGAAACTCCGGTCGCATCTGAACATCTGAAGGAACAAGCTGGACTCACCGTCCTTAAGAAGGTAACACTCCCCACAGGTGTTCGCGGCTTCATTCTTGAAGTCAGCAAGATTAAGAACCCACTGGAAGGAACCAGTTCCGGACACGACATTTACAGAGCGTGTGAGGAAGCTGGTGCCCTGCCCTACCCTAATCTGTTATGCAAATGGGGTCTCTGATTGGCCAGCGCCATGTTGCCTGCGCCTTACTGGGCATGTGCTTGACAAGGAGAGGGCAAGACTTTGGAGCTGCCGCACTGAATCTGCCTTCCCCCGTGTAGCCTTTTCCCATTGGCGCAGCTGCCAGCATTCACCCACACAGCTTCCAGCTTGCCTATGTCTGCAACTGGATTTTAGAGGCTGCTCTTTGTTAGAAATTATTTTGGGGTGGTTTTTCATTAAAAGGAAAGCCTTAAGGACTTCCTTACCTCACTATCTGCCTAAATAATTTCTTCTTAACTCCTATATTAACATCAGGGATAGTGACAGCATGACACCCACTTCCACAATCTACCTAATGAGAATCCCGGGCTGCTTGTCCAAGCAGGGATTTCCCAAAGTTCTTGACAAGCACTTGTTGAGCAGAGGTCAGCATGCCCTTCCCCAAGCTCCTGGAGCGAAGTGGGCTGTCAGCTGCACACACCAGGGCCCAGAGTGTGGAAGGAGAAGCACGGCCACGAGTGCCGCCTGGCTCTAGAACAACTGGTATCAAATGTGTGTTTAGAGATCACTGACAACGTGATGATAGGCTAAGAACGTGCCTACCAATTTGATTTGGGCGATGAATCACTTTTCAGTGTCTATTTATTGACACACCTGGGCGGTGCTGGGCACTTACGTAGGCGCTGTGGAATCCACAGTGAGCAAGAAAGTCAATGAATCGTTTAGTAAATAACGATATGAAACAATGTTAGGTAGTCGCGTGTTCTCTGCACCGCATGCCACTTTGCACAGAAGACTCTGTTGCTCCATTTGCAAGGTTCTCACTACTAGGCAACCTTTCGATCTCAGACCCAAAGCCTGTTCTTCAGCAGGTCTTCCCTGGCCGCCTTCCTTAATAAAATGCCATGACTGTCACACTTAATAAAATGCCACACTTAATAAAGTGCCACAAGGCTCAAGACAGCCTTGTGGGAGAGGAGGGAGCAGTCCTGAAGGTGGAGCGCTGGAGGGGATGGCTTCGCACAGCCACGGCCGTCTTCTGTGTGGGAAGGACTGTGGTGGAGAAAAGGACTCTAGACAGAGGCCATCACCACACCCTCTTGAAGAGAGGCAGGAACGACCACGTATGTAGGAAGTGATCCTCTGTGTCTGGAGCACCCAGTGTCTGCAGTGCCGTGGAGAAAAGGTTGTCTGTGTCCCAGAGAGATGTCTCAGCCCAAGAGGGCCGGAATACCAGGGATGACCAGGAGGGGCCAGAAGAGCCATTGACAGGGCCTCAGGGAATGAGTGTCTCAGCACAGCCCCGGGTGGACGTCTAACCACCTGTGCCCAGAGACTTCGTGCCATGTGAGGCCTCAGAAGCAGGGAGGGGGACTTGACGTGGAAATGGAGTTTTACAAAAGTAGAGTTGTGAGCTGGATTTGAACTCAAGACACCTGTTTATCTCTTCTCCACTGGATTAAGAGTTCCTGAATGATAAAACTCCACATGTCATATTCTTTGCTGTTTCACCAACACTTATTTCATAATCTAGTAGGCAGCAGGCAGTCAAAGGATGTTTTTTAATTGAACTGAAACTGAATTCTAAAGTCTTGCCCTTATAGACCATCTAAAAATATTTCAGACCACAGATCCCAGGATTTTTCTTTTCATTCTTGCCATGACCAGTAAATCAACATCCTGGTTGGGACCACGGTTTTTGCAGAGGCTTTGAAGGTTGTTAATGGAGCCACCAGTTGGCCGAAGGACATGAATTTTCCTTGTCCTTCCATAAGGAAGAACTGACCATTGACTTCTGGGATGAACCATTTGTCTCCACTAGCAGAAGAGACAAGGGTTTCCTTGCCTGACACCAGCAGGTACATCGTGCAACAAAACAGTAGTACAATGTCTGCAGAATCCCAAGAAGGGACAGCAATATCCAAGGGTCTTTTCTTCCCTTTCAACTGCAGAGCAAACCACAAAAATAATATAATGCCTATTGAAGGACAGGGTTACCAAAAAGTGCTCACATTCAAAGGATTCAAAGAAGTGTCTTTGTTATGTATTTTTCCCCTACTTCTTGGCATTTATCACCCAATATTCACATTTTTGTTATACGTCAGGAGTAGTGTAGTGTGTGGGAGCAGCAAGCACAGCACATCAGGGTCCCACATCACACCCCAAATGACAATGAAACGCCGTATCAGGTCATCACGCCATGTCCAGAAAAGCCGCAGTGGTTGGGGTGACCAGGGGACAGGCTGCTGGGGGTGAACACAGATTCCCCACTCATGCTGGACCAGGCTCCCTAATGTCACCGATGGACTGGTGAGTGCTAGGTGTTTTGACATCTTGTATCCCACAGCCCCTACTCACACCTTTTCTTCTTCCTTCATGGACCCCTGCTCTCCTTCCCATCCTAAATCCTTACCTCTTGAACCATGCCCTTCCGCTGCTTCACTGCTGTTTTGACCTCAAATACCTACAACTCTTTCCTTTTGTGATGTTATTTGATCATTTCTCCACCCTCATTCTTTTCTTCTGCAGTTTTAAACTTGCTTTATTTCATTTTTGATTAGGCTGTATATGCAGAAAGGTCAAAATTGTTAAACAAGTTTCCCTCGCAGCTCTGGCCATCAATTTTCCTCCCTCTATGGCCATTACTACTATCAATGCTGTGGGCTAAATTGGGATCTTCCCAAAAAAGACATGTGGAAGTCCCAACCCCTGGAATCTGAAGGTGACCTTATTTGGAGATAGTGTCATTACAGAGGTAATCAAAATGAGGTCTTAGGGAGGGCCTTAATTTCTTTATAAACTAGTTTGGGTTCTTATACAAAGGGAAAATGTGGACACGGAGACACACAGACACACATACAAGGAAGATTATAGGAAGATGGAGAGGATTGCCTTCTACAGGCCAAGAAGCGAGGCCTCAGAAGGAACCCACCCTGCTGACACCTTGATCTTGGACTTCCAGCCTACAGACAATATATTTCTGTTGTTTAAACCACCCAGTTGTGGTACTGTGTTAATGACAGCCCTAGCAAACTAATACAACCAGTTTCTTGTGTACTTGTATCACCGGAGATAGCAATGGATAAACGGGGTTTTACAGTCCTTGTTTGTTTGCTCTACTCACATGGTGGTCTACTGTGCACATGTACTTGGCTGTACTTCTTCTCTTCACCAGATCTCAGTGATAGTGTCCTATCAGTTCATAGAGACCACCTCATTCTTTTAAATACATGCACAGTTGGCCAGACATGGTGGCTCACGCCTGTAATCCCAGCACTTTGCAAAGCCGAGGTGGGCAGATCACCTAAGGTCAGGAGTTTGAGACCAGCCTGGCCAACATGGCAAAACCCCATCTCTACGAAAAATACAAGAATTAGCTAGGCGTGGCAGCACGTGTAATCCCAGTTACTCGGGAGGCTGAGGCAGGAGAATCATTCGCTTGAATCCAGGAGGCAGAGGTCTCAGTGAGTCGAAATCGTGCCGTTGCACTCCACCCTGAGTGACAGAGAAAGATTCCACCTCAAAAAATAAATACATGCATACATATATACATACTTACATGCACAGTCTTCCATTCTATGGGTGTTCCATATCTGCTTAGACCCCCGTGGATGGAAATTTCGATGGTATTCCTAATTTTTTGCTACTGCAGAAATGCTTCAAGGACTAACATTGTACATACATCATTTTACACATGTGCAAATACATCTGCAGGATTAAATCCTCAAAGTGGAATCACCCTATGAAAAGTCGTTAAATTTCTCTCCATACAGTTACAGCAATTTACACTCCTATGAGCACGTAGGTCTCCCACAACACAACATCCTCAACATGGTGCATAATCAAACTCTGAATAACTGCAGATCTAGCAGTGAAAAATTGGTATCTTGTAGTTATTTTGGGTAAAAAAGTATTTCTTTTAGCACTCTATTTGTAGGTGTTAGTCATTTTTCTGTTGGTTTATAGTCCTTATTAATCTTAAGAAATATTTGTCTGTGCTATAAATTGTAAATAATTTCCATAGTTGTCATCAATCTTCGAATATTACCTAAAGTAACTTTTTTCCATGCAGATATACTTGAATTTTCCCTTCTCCTTTTGTTCCTTCCTTCCTTCCTTTGTTCCTTCCTTCTCTCCTTCAATAACTGTATAATACAAAACCCAAATTCATTACCCAACATGGAATTTTACCCAACAGATTGGTGGTTTCCAGATTTTTTTTTTTTTTTTTTTTTTAGATAGTCTCACTCTCTTGCCCAGGTTGGAGTTCAGTGGCACAATCTCGGCTCACTGCAACCTTTGCCTCCCAGGTTCAAGCAATTCTCCTGCCTCAGCCTCCTTACTAGCTGGGATTACAGGTGTGCACTGCCATGCCCGGCTAAGTTTTGTATTTTTAGTAAAGATGGGGTTTCACCATGTTGGTCAGGCTGGTCTCAAACTCCTGACCTCGTGATCTGCTCACCTTGGCCTCCCAAAGTGCTGGAATTACAGCCCTGAGCCATGGCGCTAGGCCGGTTACCAGATTTTTTAAATTTACAAAGCACTAAATTAAAAGGTGGGGGAGGGTCTATTTATTTTGCCAGTAATTACCTAATGTTTTAAAATAATTTATTGTCACAATCATTTGATTAAGAAAAAATGTTTTAACTTCAGAAAAAGTAAGGAGGACATAATCTCAGGTTGATTATAGTTTATTTTCTGAAAGCAGTACAGTCGTCCCTTGGTATCCGTGGGAGACTAGTTCCAGGAACCCCCTGGATCCCAAAATCCATGGATGCTAAAGTCTCTGGTATAAAATGGTGTTTTATTTGCAGATAACCTTCACACATCTTCCCATTTCTAGATTACTTATAATACCAAAT